GTTAACAACAATAATAATTTAAATAAGACATTAAGATTTGGAATGATTTTTCTTTTTAAAATCAAATTTCCATTGTAAATAATACACTGAATCCATTTCAAGTTTGGTGATTCCTGACGAATGGATGCACCCATGTAACCACCACCGTGTTCAAGAAAAAAAGGACATTACTCCGAAGTGTCCTCTTGTGCCCCTTTGCAGTCAATACCCTCGCCCACACACTCCCGTTCCCAGGCATTCAATGACCTAGTTTCCTATCACCCATGGAGTTTTGCCTGTTCTAGAAATTCGCATGAATGGAACCACACAGTATGTGCTCTTTTTCATCACTCAACATGTTTTTGAGATTCACCCACACTGCTGCCATGTATCGGGAATTTGTTCCATTTTATTGAAGAAGAGTAGTAGTAGTCCTTTACAAATACATCCAATCACCTCCGGACGGACATTTGAATTGTTTCCAGTCCCCTCTTGTGGGCCTGTTTTATAAATTCCCTTTAAAAATTTTTATTCTTTCATACTAACTTACCTTGTGAACGGATGTTATATTCACAAATACAAAATTCATTCAAATGGTAGTACAAAAGCTTGAAGTAGAAGAAGTCTACACACTTCTCTTTTTATTTCATCATTAAGGGAAGCAAACCTGGATACAGGACCATAACATAAACTACACACTATGCTAGGTGTGTTTAATTAGTTTATCTCATTTAATCTACACAACTCCATGAGATACTTAGTTATTTTCATAGGACACTTGTAATGTCTTTGCAATAACTTCGGTGTGTTTGATAGGGCTAGAAGCCAGCACCCAAGCAGTTCCTAGTCGCTGTCCCCCTCCCAGCCCCGCGCCCCTGTCAGTAGTTTCTGGGCGGAGCGGATCTATGAGCGCCGTCCCCGCAGTAACCACGAGGGGGCGCGATCGTTCTGCTCGTCGTGGTCCTTTTTTTCCAGGACATTTGTAGCTATTAGATCGGAAGTGAGAGTGAAGTGCAAGAACACATCCTAGGGAAGAGGTTGGCAAAAAAGACCACCTGGGTCGAAGCGGCTCCCCGCACAGCACGAGCGTGTTACACACCATACCCTCAGCCAAGCACAGACTAAATTTGGCCAACCAGCAGTCCCAGACACTTTCCACCTCCCGCTGCGAGGTGAGCGAGGATACGTTCCCTCCGGGACGGAGTACAGAAACATGAGAGAAGAGACAGGGCCTGCAATAGAGAGAAAGAGATGTCCCCAAACCACAGAACACACCAGACGCCTCTACAGGAACGAAAGAAGAGCAAGCAAATATCGCGTAATTCAAGCGACTGATCCTGGAACGACTGAATACAGACGAGAGCGCGAACACAGTCCCCCACCACCAGAAATGACGCAGCCGAAATTCCCACATCGGGGGAAGCCGCAGAGAAGAGGACATACAGAATATAATGGATAAGCCTCATCCTGGGAAAAACCACCTTTGTAATCAAAGTATTTCCTCTGCCAGGTTAGTATGAGGTCACCTCTTAACGCCCTAGCACAGCTTCACAAGCTTTACACTGTACGCACACGGTCACTTCCAGGATCAGTCGCTGACGGTATGGTGTGTAACACGCTCGTGCTGTGCGGGGAGCCGCTTCGACCCAGGTGGTCTTTTTTGCCAACCTCTTCCCTAGGATGTGTTCTTGCACTTCACTCTCACTTCCGATCTAATAGCTACAAATGTCCTGGAAAAAAAGGACCACGACGAGCAGAACGATCGCGCCCCCTCGTGGTTACTGCGGGGACGGCGCTCATAGATCCGCTCCGCCCAGAAACTACTGACAGGGGCGCGGGGCTGGGAGGGGGACAGCGACTAGGAACTGCTTGGGTGCTGGCTTCTAGCCCTATCAAACACACCGAAGTTATTGCAAAGACATTACAAGTGTCCTATGAAAATAACTAAGTATCTCATGGAGTTGTGTAGATTAAATGAGATAAACTAATTAAACACACCTAGCATAGTGTGTAGTTTATGTTATGGTCCTGTATCCAGGTTTGCTTCCCTTAATGATGAAATAAAAAGAGAAGTGTGTAGACTTCTTCTACTTCAAGCTTTTGTACTACCATTTGAATGAATTTTGTATTTGTGAATATAACATCCGTTCACAAGGTAAGTTAGTATGAAAGAATAAAAATTTTTAAAGGGAATTTATAAAACAGGCCCACAAGAGGGGACTGGAAACAATTCAAATGTCCGTCCGGAGGTGATTGGATGTATTTGTAAAGGACTACTACTACTCTTCTTCAATAAAATGGAACAAATTCCCGATACATGGCAGCAGTGTGGGTGAATCTCAAAAACATGTTGAGTGATGAAAAAGAGCACATACTGTGTGGTTCCATTCATGCGAATTTCTAGAACAGGCAAAACTCCATGGGTGATAGGAAACTAGGTCATTGAATGCCTGGGAACGGGAGTGTGTGGGCGAGGGTATTGACTGCAAAGGGGCACAAGAGGACACTTCGGAGTAATGTCCTTTTTTTCTTGAACACGGTGGTGGTTACATGGGTGCATCCATTCGTCAGGAATCACCAAACTTGAAATGGATTCAGTGTATTATTTACAATGGAAATTTGATTTTAAAAAGAAAAATCATTCCAAATCTTAATGTCTTATTTAAATTATTATTGTTGTTAACCTTGCAGGGTTCTTTTAGAAAATTACCCTTCTTGTGAACAATATGATTGGAAGTTCAACCATTCCTTAGTTTTTGTTTTTGTATCTTTTTCTTCAGCTAAACTCATTACAATTAAATTGAATACTTTTAAATAATCTATGAGCTCAACTTCATAAAAGTATATGTATATACGTGTATATACATAGAGGTGCTTCTTTCTGTTAATATACCAAAAATGACTCCATCAATATTTACCTAATGTTAACAAGCTATTTCTGAACTTGAGATGTTTCACAATTTTATGTATTTTATTTTCTGCATCATTTGGGTTTTGTTATAGTAAGCTTCTGTAATTTTTGCAAAAATTACAACTTAAAAATTAGATTTGAAAAAAATAGGTAAAGACGTTAACAGTTAATTTCAGGTGGTGGGAATATGGAGGACTGCTTATCTTCTTCCTTATGCCTTTTTCATATGCTGGAATTTAAAAACTGGATGACCTGGAGGTGAAAGAACAATTCATACCGAAGAGGTGTGGGGTAGGTGAGGGGAAAATGGAAAGGGGAAGGGGAAGAGAAAAAAAAGCCTACTTCTGGCAGGAATTTTGTTTACGTTGGAGATTTTGGGGGAGCAGCTGTTGGCATAACAAGGGTGTTTGGGAGGCAGGTGGGTCGTGAGGATATTCAGCACAGTTTTATACCTGTTACATGATTCCTCCGTGGTGTTTTGTTTTGTTCAAAAGAAAGATACAGACTTAAATGTCAAGCATTTTTACCATTTGTATTTCTCTTTTATTAACAGTACAAACATACGGTTCTGAGCATATCTTCTGGAGCCAGGCTGGCTTTGGTAAAAATTCCCGCTTCCAAATCCCACTCTCTAGTTGAGTGACCGAACGGACTGATTACTTAATCTTTCCATGTCTCAGTTTTCTCATAGGTAAAATGGGGATGAGAATATGATGTAGGCCTGTTGAGGATTAAGTGAGTAAACAGGTGTAAAATTTGTAGACTATTCCTGGCACATGGCACTCTGCACATAATCACTGAGTGTTAGTCCTTCTATTTGGGGCACAACACTGCAGAAAGACTGGATGGGATAAAAACTGATTTTATTTCAGTTATAGCATTGATAGCTTTTCAGTGGCTGTGGACTCTCCCAAGGGAGAGCAAAGTAATCCTCTGATGGGCAGTAATCTGGGCTGGGAGAATCTGGAGGGCTTATTAGAACATTTATTTGGTCCACTCATTAAAAGGGGATAAGGATCCATTTCCTTGTATCAAAAATGCCCCAATAAAAAAATTCACAGTTTTACAGCCAAATGAGACAGGGACCATGGGCATAGTCAGGGTAGGGTGAGGGCCTGGGAGTCACATACTCAGAAAATGGCTTCTAGGCCTTTAAGATGGCTATGCTTATGCTAACCTATTTCTATTCTTACAAACATCCATTCACAAGATAAGTTAGTATGAAAAATTAGAAAAATCTTAAAATGTAATTTGTAAAACATGCCCACAAGAGGGACTTGTTCACAGCAGCTTTGTCCTCAAACTGGAAACAATTCAACTATCTGTGAGGAGGTGATTGGATATAAAAGGATATAATTGTAATATAGTCAAAGGACTACTATTACTCTTCAATAAGATGTAAAAAATTCCTGATACATGGCAGCAATGTGGGTGAATCTCAAAAACATCACGCTGAGTGATGAAAGGAACATACTGTGTGGTTCCATTCTTGTGAATTCTAGAACAGGCAAAACTCCTCCATGGGTGACAGGAAACTAGGTCATTGAATGACTGGGACTGGGAGTGTGGGGGGGAGGGTATTGACCGCAAAGGGGCACAAGAGGACACTTCGGAGTAATGGAAATGTCCTTTTTTTCTTGAACTGGATGGTGGTTACACGGATGCACCCATTTGTCAAGGATCTCCAAACTTGAAATGGATACAGTATATTATTTACAAAACTACAGCTTTAGAAAATTTTGATTTTAAAAAGAAAATTCATTGCAAATTTAAATGTCTTATTTAATTAAATTATTATTGTAAGATAAATTCCAACTGAAATAAGCAGGCAACGAGAGGCAACAAAGTGCCAGGCAGTTTATTTGAACGCAATCCCCGGGTGATGTTCCGTGGTCTGAAACACAGGACGAGGAAGTCACACCCAGCAGGGCAGGCAGTAACTTTTTAAAGAAGGCAGGGGGAGGGAGAGCACAGGTGTACAGTGGTGTGAGGACTGGCTCACCTAGAGTACGTGGAAGTCTCTCATTGGCCTTTAGCCAGGTACTGGAAAGTTAACACTTATCTTTTAGCTTGGGGCAAGGGCTCTACTTGGAGTGTTATCCGATCAGGCTCTGGAATGTTGTCAGACCGGAACCTGTTGGTCTCTTCTCACCTCGTTTGGTGAGGCCTGAGCTTGTCCATCAGGCTCACCCCTTCCCCTGGTGCCTCCAAGCCTTACAATTAGTGCTAGCTTTCAAGAAAGAAAATTCTATTTCTTGTGAACAATTTAATTAGAAGTTCAACCATGCCTAGGTCACAGGGAAGACACTAAAGCACAGAAAAGACAATTAATGACTTTATAACGTCTTATTACATTGATAGACAGTGACCGCAATGGAGGGGGTGAGGATATGATAACATGGGTGAATGCTGAAACCACTGTTGTTTATGTGAAACCGTAAGATCATATATGAATGATACTCCATTTTTTAAAAAGTTCAACCATGCCTTCAGTTTTGTTTTTGTCACTTTTCCTTCAGTTAAATTCATTAGTTAAATAGAATACTTTTAAATAAAGACAGAACCTATGAGCTCAATTTTATAAAAGCATATAATCCTTCTTTATGTAAATATACCAAAAAGGACTCCATCAATATTTACCTAATGTTAACAAGTTATTTTTGAAATTAAGGTGTTTCAGATTTTATATATTTGTATTTTCTGCAGCATTTGAGTTTGGTATAATAAGGTATAATTTTTGTAAAAAAATTACATTAACTTAAAAAAAAGATTTGAAGAAAAATATGTAAAGATGTAAGCAGTTAACTTCAGGTGGTGGGAATATGGAGGACTGATTCTCCTCCTCCTTATGTATTTTATATATGCTGGAATTTAAAAGCTGAATGACCTGGAACTGAAAGAACAGAACAGATCCAGAAGAGGTATGGGGTAGGTGAGAGGCAAATGGAAAGGGAAAGAGAAAAGCCTACTTCTGGCAGGAAATTTGTTTAAGTTGTAGATTTTAGGGGAGCAGCTGTTGGCATAACAAGGGTGTTTGGGAGGCAGGTGGGTCATGAGGATATTCAGCACAGTTTTATACCTGTTACATGATTGCTCCGTGGTGTTTTTTCAAAAGAAAGATACAGATTTTAAATATCAAGCATTTTTACCATTTGTGTTCCTTTCTCATTAGGAGCGGTATAAACACATGGCTCTGAGCATATCTTCTGGAGCCAGTCTGACTTTGGTAAAAATTCCTCCTTTCAAATCCCACTCACTAGTTGAGTGACTGAACAGTTTACTTAACCTTCCCATGTCTCAGTTTTCTCATAGGTAAAATGGGAATGAGGGTATGATATAGGCCTATTGAGGATTAAATGAGTAAACAGTGGTAAAATTTGTGGACTATGCTTGGTACATGGCAATCTGCATATAATCATTGGGTGATAGTCCTTGTATTTTGGGCACAACACTGCAGAAACACTGGATGTGATAAAAACTGATTTAATTTAAGTTATAGCACTGATACTTTTCAGTGGCTGTGGATCCTCCAAGGGAGTGCGAAGTAATCCTCTGACTGGCAGTAATCTAGGCTGGGAGAATCTGGGGGGTTTACTAGAACATTTAT